CTTGAAGCGATGGAAGGTGGGAAGCTGGAGAAGGCCGGAAAGAAGTCGGGAAAAGGAAATGAATGGGTCCCTGGGTCTTAGCAATGAGCGTCCTTCTGAGAATGCTGAGATTTGAGGGCTTACACCTCAGGAAACATGTCTGAAGAGTGATAAAACGAAGACGTAATTTGAGGAAAACAATACATTGTGCTTATCATCTGTTTTCCCATTAGTGGTAAACTCCTGGAGAGGGACTATCTCCAGCAAGCTTAATAATAGACACTGGTTGGGGCGCCTGGGTGGCGCAGTCGGTTAAGCGTCCGACTTCAGCCAGGTCACGATCTCGCGGTCCGGGAGTTTGAGCCCCGCGTCAGGCTCTGGGCTGATGGCTCGGAGCCTGGAGCCTGTTTCCGATTCTGTGTCTCCCTCTCTCTCTGCCCCTCCCCCGTTCATGCTCTGTCTCTCTCTGTCCCAAAAATAAATAAAAAACGTTGAAAAAAAATTTTTTTTAAAATAATAGACACTGGCATGTAATATGAGCTTAATTTTTATTTTATGCCGAGTAATGGAGATAAGCAATGCTTAAAGGGTTAAGAAGCAGTGGTAAAACTTAACAGTCTGAGTGCCCGAGACTATGTCATAAGTATTAATTCCACAGAGGACAGATATCGCAAAACTCCTATTTAAGGAATTGTGTCTACCATTTATCATTGATGAAGGATATGAGGCAGAAAAGTGTTCACCTTTAGCCCAGAAGGCTGACCTATATAGTGTGCATAGTTTTGATAAAGATCGAATAGATGCTGACGGCTGCATTCTTAAAGGGTCTCATGACTGCCTCTACATCTCACGGATAGTTAGTATCGAGCTGAATGATATGCACCAGAGAAATCTTTCGAGAAGACATTTAGGATCTAATACTCCCTGCATGTCCCCCCTTGAGCACTAAGTACATACAGAAGCGCCAGCTTCACAAAGCCGAAGTGCAACTCTTTCTGCCCATGGGGTCCTGGCCCCGTTTTATAAGAAAAGCACCTTTTTTGCACCAAAAACGTCTCAAGAATTCTTCCCTGACCATTCGCGACCCCACGTCAATCATGGGCCTTTTCAAGTTTTGTACTGACCAAGATACATTTAAGTTTTTTAATTATTTCCTAAGGTGTTTAGGAAAATAAGATTTCCCTGGTGTCAGTCTCTAAGGAAACAATATGTGGGAGTGTGTTGGGAATGTGAATTTTCAAGAGAGGTACCTATTTTTGGCAAGCTCAAGTGATTCTTTTGCACAATCATGTTTGAGAACCACTGTACTCTATGCATAAGTTTGTAAAAGTTTTTAATACTTTATTTTAAATTTTGTGCCCATCACTGTGCTTGGTTTTAACCATACTTTTCATTTTATGTTTTTAAGGTGCTCATACTTCTGCATTTTGGCCCTGGCAACTGCTATCTCATCTGGGTTAGCTTACACACCTGAGAATCAGAATTGAGGCTGGGCTCGGCTGGTGGGTTCTACTTCAAGATATAGGTCTCCAGGTCGTTCAGATGACTCTGTACCATGTGTCTTTCGTTCATTCTTCTTGGACTAGCAGGCTGCTTAGGATGTGTTCTTATGGTGATGGCCGAGGTACAAGAGAGAGGTTTTGCCTGCATTACATGTCTAACAATCACATGGCCCATGGCCAAGCCTAAAAGTCAAGGATAGGAGAGGGGACACTCAGCCTTTTCAGTTGCAGAAACTGCAGAGTTACATGGAAAGGGGGTATGGATAAAGGGAGGATCAAGGCCAACAATCTGTCACATATGGAAAATCATCCAGTTACATTCCCCTATCTCACACCATAAATAAAAATTCCAATTGGATTAAAGATGTAAGTATAAAAAAAAAGTGAAGTCTTCTGCAGACTCAGATATATGTATGAGGCTAAGTCCTGCTTAAAGAGAAGTGTTCTATGAAAAAATATTTGTCACATTTTGAGGGTTCATGGAGCTCAAATCTTCCAAAGGGAAGAGATGAACCATCCTTAAGGGGTGAGGAGACAGAGATCTGCTAGGCTCTCAATTAAAACTCCACAGAACACAAGGAATAACAGGCTATACGCAGGGGTGGCCTGAGTCTTATTTAAAATGTAACCCAGAGTGCCTCGGTGGCTCAGTCAGTTAAGCGACTGACTTTTGATTTCAGTACCTGACTCTTGATTTCAGCTCAGGTCTCACGGTTCATAGGATTGAGCCCCATCCATGTCAGGCTCCACCCTGACAGCTCGGAATCTGCTTGGAATTCTCTCTCTCTCCCTCTCTCTCTGCCCCTCCCTCGCTCATGGGTACTCTAAGTAAATAAATAAACTTAAAAAAGTAAAATGCAGCCCTACCCTATTCCAGCTCAGTCTCTGATTACACTGAGGAACTCGGTCTCTCACTTTATCTACCTAACAAAAGAAAGATGGAAACCCTCACCGTGGAAGATACCTGAACACGCAATATCCAGCATATGATAGCAGTAAATGTAAAAAGGCAGGCAAGAGGGACTGATAATAAAAACCTAAAACAATAGGAACATATCCATGGATGATCAAAACATTGGAGATGGTAGGGCAAGAACTTTAAAATAACTGAACAGTAACGTTAGATGAAAATGGAGAAAATGGATGAAAGGTTTCAACAGAAACTGGAAATGATTTTCTAGTCTATTGGTTTGATTGTCATCACTGTGCCAAAACCACACTTTGACTTTCACAAGTTTATAAATTTTGATATCAAATACCCTTGACCTTGTTTTCTTGAAAATCACCTTTGTTTATCTTGGCCCTTGGCTATCCCATACATTTTCCAATCAGCTGGTTCTATGGAAAGGCCCACTGGCATTCGACTGGCATTGAATTGAATTTATAGATTTGACAAGAAAGGCTTCTGATGCTTCTATGATATTGCATTTTCCTAGAGAGAAGTATTTATTTTTCATGTTTTTAGGTTTTCAACAGTTTTATAATGTTCCCCATGATGGTTATATACAATTTTTGGTAAATGAAAATATTGCTATGTGCTTTTGATAGCATTGTAATTGATATCTTTTTCAAATTTACATTTTTAACTATTTCTTATTGGTATGAAGAAATGTAACGCATTATTAAACATTGATTTTATATTTTGGAAACTTCTTGAATACAGTCTAGTAATTTCACTAGAAACTCTCTTGGGTTTTCTAAGAATCAATCATGCTTTCTGCCAAAAATGTTTGTCTTCCTTTTCAGTCATTATTCTTTCTTGTTTGCTTTTCCTGGCTAGAACCTCCAATAGTTGATAATATTGGACACACTTGCCATGTTTCGAATTTTAAAGTAAGCATGGCATTAACATAAAACTTTCTGAATACATGTATAGCATTTACAAAACTACGTTTACATGCTTCTCAGAGCATGCACTAGATGTTTGCTGCCCAGTCAGGTGATTCTATTTTGTTCACAACAGCCTCTTACTGCTTCTTTTTTTTTTTTTTAATTTTTTTTTTAATGTTTATTTATTTTTGAGAGAGACAGTGACAGAATGCGAGTGGGTTAGGGGCAGAGAGAGAGGGAGACGCAGAAGCAGAAGCAGAAGCAGAAGCAGGCTCCAGGCTCTGAGCTGTCAGCACAGAGTCCGACACAGGGCTCAAACTCACGAGCTGTGAGATCATGACCTGAGCCGAAGTTGGATGCTCAACCGACTGAGCCACCCAGGTGCCCCAGCCTCTTACTGCTTCTCAAACATACCAAATCCCCTCCTGTTCCTGGACCTTGGAATCTGCCAAGGATGTTTCTCCAGATAACTTCATAGCTCACTTTCTCATTTCTTTCAGGTCTTTGCTCAAGTGTCTCTTTATCAGAGTCTTTTTCTGATCTCCCTATATAAAATGTGTAATAAGGAACCTAATTCCACTTTTTATGTTTGACTGCTGACAGCTGTTAAGCCTCACTCCCCTCTCTTCCCATTCTGCTCCATATTTGAGCAAGCCTGGCTGCTCCTTCTTTGACACTTGTGGGAAATTTAAACTGCATATGGAACCATCACCTTGGCCCTAACTGTTCATTACCACAGAAACCCCAAACCAGGCTCCTTTCTCTGTTCTCTCAGCCATTTTTGGACCTGCTTGGGAGCTGTCCTGCTTTCCCCAGAAAGCCTCATTATGCAAGCGGCAAATCCTTTCATACCCTGTTGGGGTGTATGTGACTTTATCAGTCTTGACACCCAAACCTAATTTGGGGTGATGAGTCCATCCTGTCTCATGTGGGATGGACTCAACAAAATAGCATCCTCCTTGGGGGTGCCTGTGTGGCTCTGTCGGTTAAGCGTCCAACTCTTGGTTTTGGCTCAGGTCATGATCTCACGGTTCGTGAGATTGAGTCCCACATCGGGCTCTGCAATGACAGCATGGCTCGGGATTCTTTCTCCTTTTCCCTCTGCCCCTCCCCTGCCCACGTTGTCTCTTTCTGTCTCTCAAAAATAAATTGACTTTTCAAAAAATAGCGTACTCTTTTATAATCCATCCTGTGTTGGGGCGCCTGGGTGGCGCAGTCGGTTAAGCGTCCGACTTCAGCCAGGTCACGATCTCGCGGTCCGTGAGTTCGAGCCCCGTGTCGGGCTCTGGGCTGATGGCTCAGAGCCTGGAGCCTGTTTCCGATTCTGTGTCTCCCTCTCTCTTTGCCCCTCCCCCGTTCATGCTCTGTCTCTCTCTGTCCCAAAAATAAATTAACGTTGAAAAAAAAAAAATAATCCATCCTGTGTTTTATTTTTCTTCATAGGACTTAATACTACCTGTCATATAACACATTTGTTTACTGTTAGTCCCCCCCCCCCATATAAACGATTGAATGATAGAAGCCCGCATCTGGTGAAGTGTCTGACATAATCTTCTATACTCTCATTCATTCAACAAATATTTATTGAGTGCCTGCTTTGGCCAGGCACTATTAAAGGCATTAGTGCTACACTGGTAAACAAAGCTCTTTTTTTCCTGTCTGGAGGCAAGATATTAAAAAGAAACATCATACTGTGACTATAAACTTTTTATTCATTTTTTGCTTCAAACTAGTGCTTCTTGTAAAAATAACATTTACAAATTTCTACTCACAGGACAGGTTATAGGTAACATTCAAAGAAGACAATCAAAAAATATTTTTTGAAGATTTAGTATGTGTTTGCTATTAAAGAGCTCCTAAATCTGCACATGCTTAGCATTAGCAAGATTACGATTAGACAGTTGATTTCTGGCTAATGATTATTAAAGAAGAATACTGAGGATAATGCCAACAATTTCAATCAGTAAAAGAGTATAATTTTTTATTTCACAAAGGACAGTGTCATGTGTACCAACGGCCTCACTTATAAATTAAAGTATACCCACTTCAGTGTTGTATTTGGATGTTTCTTTTCCCTTTCCTTCTGGCAAATAGCCAACAAGATACAAATTGCTTCCAACTGGCAACCCAAACAAAGGAGGCATCATGGCTAACCACCTAGTTGCCAATGTTTGTGAAAGTCAAATTGCGAACTCCTGAGTATGGTTCAACCCCACCAAAAGGGGGAAACTTGCTTCCTCTGCCCATCTTATTCCACGAAAATAAAAAAGTATACTCTGATTTCTGAAATGGATTTTTAAAATTTAATACTACAGATTCAATAACTATCAGCATTTGCAACACTGATTTTTCTAATACCCAGAAACATCCACTTAGGACTTGTGAGAGTATTTTGAAAAACTTAATAATGTTATACAAATGTAAGTTATTACCAGTAGATAGTAGGTATAATCACGTGATTCCTGATCATGTTATATTTAAGATATAAACATAAGACTGATTTTGCTGTGAATAAAGAATAAAAAAATGAACCTTTTTCATTATGTATGTTTGTTCCCAATAATCTCTAAGATATATCAGATAATACAGAGTACAGAGGTCAACGTACCTTTCAGTTAATGGCCAAAACAATGGGATTTAAGTCGTGAGATCATTTCTATTGGATTTTATATTAGTATCAATCAATGAGTTGATTACTTAACCTTAATTATTTCTTTTTCATTTGATTTAATCTCGCCCAATTGAATGGGTCTCTTTGGGTTGATCAATGCGATACAGAAACTCTGCAGGCAAGAAGTATCCAAGATATTCCACTGTGTCTGGGGTAGTGTCATAATGGTAGTGTCCACCTTCTCCATGATGACTGAAACAATGGGTGTGCTCCAATCGCAAATCAAACCCCTAGGACAACAGACAAGCTATCTGTCAGTATTTAAATTATCCTGGATAGGAATTGTTTAAGGGGGAGGGAGACCTTTTTATTTGTTATAATAGTTTTTATTTTATTTTTTAGGTAAGCAATATATATACTTAATTCAAAATTCAAAGAGTGAAAAAGGATATATTCCGTAAAGTGTGTCTTTCCATCTTCTGCCTTTACTACTTCCTTCCTTCCTTTCCTTGCAGGCACCCGGTGTAAGGAGTTTCTTATATACCCTTCCAGAAATATTAACTTTTGTAATTTTTACTCAAATTTTCACTCTGTACATACTGTGATGAGTATTGCTTTTCTTCATTTAAAAATATAGCTTGAGATCTTAGTATATTAGATCATAAAAGAGCTTCTGCTTTCTTTTACACCTACATGGCATTCTATTGTACACACATACTGATTCCACCAATTCTCAACTAACATTTAGATTATGTCCAATGCTGCTATTATAGTAATGCTATTATGAATAACCTTTTAACTAATAATTTTAAATACTTACACATATATTTAAGGATACATTTCTAGACACGTAACCGCTGGATCAAAAGGCAGTATTGTGGTAGCTACTTTCTCTGAATTGGTCTCTCTCATATCTTTTTCTAGTGTCTAGTGTTAGAATATAAGGAATGGTGTGATGAGCAACAAATAAGGTGATAGGAGACCCGAATCATGGTCTTGATTCTACTATTTAATAACATGACTTTGGGTATCATGTAAAATACCTGTGCCTTGGTTTGCTCGAAGGTAAAATCTGCCCTGCCTAACTAACTCATAGGGGCGTTAGCCACCTGCTCCCTCATCTTTCAAGATAATTCTGGAGACTATCCTAGTTCTTAAATGACAACTCAGAAAGTGCCTAATTTTAAAAGAATATCCTAAAACCTAAGCATAATCACTGTATTATACTGCAATATAAAAGACAGACATAAACTTACTGGGTCTCTGGAGACAAAAACTGGCAGACAAACCAAAGGAGCTTTCATCTCATAAAAGTGCAACCATTTATTCACCTCCTCATCAGAGTTCAAAGGGCAGGAAGAAAATTCTGTGGGCTACAATAAAAGATCATTCTAAATATATAGAATATTATTGAGAATTAAAATGTAAATTGTATCTAACTTCATTACATTAGAAACGTAAGCCTTCTTATACATTTGACTATTTTTAGAATCAAAACAAATAATATACCATAGTTTTCAAAAGGATCACCAATCAAGTGTATAAGCTAAAATGCATGAATGAATAAATGAAAGAATGAGCCTACTACTATCTTTTTACTTTTCATAGCTTCTCAGTTTTCCTGGAAATATATCCTCGTCCTAATTTTAAATCTCATTACTGCTACCAGTACATCGAGGGGTGTGTGGGTGGGGAACAAGGCATTAGAAGTTGGTAGAAGCATCAAAACGAATAAAATAAACTTATTCAAGGAAGCAAAAACAAAACAAACAAAAACTTGTACTACAAAGCACTGCTAAAAGAAATTTGGGAAGACCCCAAGGGGGCACCTGGGTGGCTCAACGGTTAAGCATCCGACTATGGCTGATGATCTCAAGGTTTGTGAGTTTGAGCCCTGCGTTGGGCTCGGTGCTGACAGCTCAGAGCCTGGAGCCTGCTTCGGATTCTGTGTCTCCCTCTCTCTCTGTCCCTCCCCTGCTGGCACTCTGTCTCTCTCTGTCTCTCTCTCTCTCTCTCTCTCTCTCTCTCTCTCTCTCTCTCTCTCAAAAATAAAGCATTTAAAAAATAAAAGAAATTTAAAAAGACTCCAATAAATGGAGAAATATCCTGTGTTCATGAATCGAACAATATTGTTAAGATGTTAATACTACCAAAAGCAATCTAAAGATTTAATGCCACCCCTATTAAAATCCCAATAAAGTTTTTTGCTGAAATAGAAGAATCCATCGTAAAAGTCATGTGGAATCTCAAGGGACCCTGAAGAGCCAAACCAATCTTCGGGGAAAAGAGAAAAGTTGGAGGCCTAGCACTTCCTGCTATCAAACTTACTACAAGTAATCAAAACGGTGTAACACTGGCATAAAGGCAGACATACAAATCAGTGGAATAGCACAGAGATCCCAGAAATAAACCCTTGCATATATGGTCAAATAATTTTCAATAAGGGTGTCAAAACCATTCAATGGAAAATGGACCATCTTTTCAAAAAATGGTGCTGGGAAAACTGGATATTCATGTGCAAAAGAGTGAAGTCGGCCCCCTAATTTATACATGTACAAAAAAAGAACTCAAAATGGATCAAAGACCTAGCTGTAAGAGGTAAAATATAAAACTTAGAAGAAAATTTAAGGGAAAAGTTTCAGAACGTGGGATTTTCACCATAATTTCTTGCATATGACATAAAAACTACAGGCAACAAAAGGAATAATAAACAAGTGGGACTATATCAAATTACAAACGTCTGCACTGTAAAGGAAACAAGCCGCAAAATGAAAAGGCAATCTATGGAATGGGAAAAAATATTTATCCAATAAGGGGTTAATATCCGCAATATACAAGGAACTCTTACAACTCAATAGCAAAAAACAACCAACTTAAAAAATGGGCAAAGGAACTAAATTAGACATTTCTCCAAACAAGACATACAAATGGCCAGCAGGTATAAGAAAAAGTGCTCAATATCATCAGGGAAGGGAAATGCAAGTCAAAACCATGAGATATCACCTCATTCCTGTGAGGATGGTTGCTATCAAAAAAGCAAGGGATAACAAGTGTTGACAAGGATGTGGAGAAAAAGGGACACTTGTATGCTGTTAGTAGGTATGTAAACCGGTGCAATCATTATGGAAAACAGTATTATAAATAAATGTGTGATTTGATTATATATGAGTGTGTATAAATATGTAAAATTATGACATATGTATACACACACATATACAAGGAATGTTATCCAGGCTTAGGAAGGAAGGAAATCCTGCAACATGGATGTAACAACATGGATGAACTTGGAGGACATTATGCTAAAATGAAATAGGCCACACACAAATATTGCATGGTATCACTTACTGGAATCTAAAGAGTCCAATTTGGAGAAACAGACACATAAAGTGGTGGCTGCCAGGAGCTGAGGAATGGGGAAAATGAGGTGAAGGTCAAAGGGTACAAACATTTTTCAGTTACAAGATGGGTAAGTTTTAGAGATATAATGCACATTATGGTTAACTACAGGCATACCTTGGAGATGTTGTGGGTTTAGTTCCAGACCACTGCAATAAAATAGGGGCAAGTCAAATGAATTTTTTAGTTTCCCATTGCATGTAAAAGTGATGTTTGCATTATACTGTGGTCTATCAAGGGTGCATTATATCTTAAAAAATGTACATACCTAAATTTAAAAATACTTTATTGCCAAAAAATGCTGACAATCATTTGAGCTTTCGGCAAGTCATAAACTTGTTTTTTCAAGGCATAAACTCTTGCCTCAGTGTTGATGGCTCAGGGTTGAGTGATCAGGGTGCTACAGTGGTGAACAGTGCTGTTCTGTAGCATTTTACCCACAGAACTTTCAAAATTGGAGTCAATCCTTTAGCAACTTAGTTCATGTAATGTTCTAAGTCCTTTGTTGTCATTTCAACAATCTTCACAGCATCTTCACCAGCAGATTCCATCTCAAGAAGCCACTTTTTTTGTTCATCCCTAAGAAGCAACTCCTCATCTGTTCAAGTTGGATCATGAGATTGCAGTAATTTAGCCCCACCTTCAGGCTCCACTTCTAGTTCTCTTGCTGTTTCTACCACTTCTGCAGTTACTTCCTCCACTTACGTCTTGAACCCCTCGAAGTCATCTATGGGAATTGTAATCAACTTCTTCCAAACTCCTATTTATGCTGACATTTTGACCTCTTCTCATGAATCACAAATGTTCTTAGTAGTATCTAGAATGGTGAATCCTTTCTAGGTTTTCAACTGACTTTGCCCTGAGCTGCCACATGTCTATGGAAGCTATAATCTTATGAAATGTATTGTTTTTAATTTTTTAATGTTTATTTATTTCTAAGAGAGAGACAGAGTGCCTGCAGGCGAGAGGCAGAGAGAGAGGAAGACACAGAACCCAAAGCAGACTCCAGGCTCCGAGCTGTCAGCACAGAACGTGACATGGGGCTTGAACACATGAACCATGAGATCATGACCTGAGCCAAAGTCAGATGGTTAACCGAATGAGCCACCCAGGTGCCCCTGAAATGTATTTCTCATATAATAAAACTTGAAAGCTGAAATTACTCCCTGATCCATGGGTTGCAGAATGGATGCGATGTTAGCAGGCATGAAAGCATGAATCTCATTGTACATCTCCATCAGACCTCTTGGGTGACCAGGTGCATTGTCAATGAGCAGTAATATTTTGCAAGGAATATGTTTTTCTGAGCAGTTGGCGTCAAAAGCATGCTAAAAATATTCAGTAACCCATTTTGTAAACAGATGTGCTATCGTCTGGGCTCTGCTGTTCCATTGATAGAGCACAGGCAGAGTAGATTTAGCATAATTCGTAAGGAACCTAGGATTTTCAGGATGGTAAATGAGCACTGGCTTCAACTTAAAGCCACCAGCTGCATTAGCCCTTAACAGAAGAGTCAGCCTGTCCTTTGCAGCTTTGAAGCAAAGAATTGACTTCTCTATAGGTATGAAAAGTCCTAGATGGTACCTTCTTCAATAGAAGGCTGTTTTGTCTACCTTGAAAATCTGTTGTTTTGTGTAGCCACATTCATTAATTACCTTAGCTAGATCTCTGGAGGATAACTTGCTGCAGCTTCTACATCAGCATTTGCTGCTTCACCTTGCATTGCTATGTTACGGAGATGGCTTCTTTTCTTAAACCTCATGAACCAACCTCTGCTAGTTTCGAACTTTTCTTCTGCAGCTCCCTCACCCGTTTCGGCCTTCATAGAATTGAAGAAGGGCTTTGCTCTGGATTAGGCTTTGGCTTAAGGGAATGTTAGGGCTTGTCTGATCTTCCATCCAGACCACTAAAACTTTCTCCATGTCAGCAACAAGGCTATTTTTGCTTTCTTACCATTTGTGGATTCACTGGAGTAACACTTCTAATTTTCCATCAAGGACTCTTCCTTTACGTTCACACCTTGGCTGTTTGGATGGGAGGTCCAGCTTTTGGTCTTCCTTGGCTTTTGACATGCCTGCCTCACAAGCTTAATCATGTCTAGCTTTTAATTTAAAGTGAGAGACGTGTGATTCTTCCTTTCACTTGAACACTGAGAGGCCACTGTAGGGTTAGTAACTGGCCTAAATTTAATATTGTTGTGTCTCAGGGAATAGGGAGGCCTGAGGAGAGGGAGAGACACCGGGCTGGTTGGTGGAAAAGTCAAAACAGACCAACATTTATTAAGGTGACCATCTTACATGGGTGCCGCTTGTAGCACCCCAAAGCAAGTACAATCATTACTTCAAAGATCACTGATGACAGACTGCCATAACAAATATAATAAGAACAATGAAAAAGTTTGCAATGTTGCGAGAATTACCGAAATGCGGCACAGGGAGGGGAAGTGAGCAAATGCTGTTGGAAATTTGGTGCCAAAAGACTTGCTTGATGCAGTGCTGCCACAAACTAATGTATGAAAAATGCAGTATTTGCGAATGCAATAATGTGAAACACAGTAAAATGAGATATGCCCATAGTTAATAATAAAGTATTGTGTACTTGAGTTTTAAAAATGCCTGTAATTATTTGGTATTTGCAATTAGATTTATCTACAATTCTGTTTTTAACAATTTGGAAAATTAAGTAGTTTCGTAAATGTTGTGTCTTTCTTTGCAAAATCAGCTGACTTGCCATTTAAAATTATCAGGATAAAAAACATTAGAACCAAACATTTTTGATGAGTTTAGTGACAGAATGAAAAGGAAATTAAGTTGTAATTACTTTTACACTTGATTCATTCATTCACCTACAAAACATTATTTTAAAACCTCAGGGTGCCCGTGTGGCTCAGTTGGTTAAGCGTCTGACTTCAGCTCGGGTCATAATCTCATGGTTTGTGGGTTCGAGCCGCACATTGGGCCCTGTGCTGACAGCTCAGAGCCTGGGGCCTGCTTCAGATTCTGTGTCTCCCTCTCTCTCTGCCCCTCCCCCACTCATGCGCGTGTGCACGCGCGCGCGCTCTCTCTCTCTCTCTCTCTCTCTCTCAAGAATAAACATTAAAAAAAATAAAAATTAAAAAAAAATGCCCTGGGTCTTGCTTCATATGGTATTCCATCCTTATTGTCTTATAAACTTACATAATTAGCCCATAAGATTATAATTTTCATAATGACTCCTTTCCCCAAAACCGCAACCATCTAGACAGCAAAGTCAACACATGCAGTTTGGGATTCTGGCAATAAAAATGATAATCCAAAAAAAATTCATAATCTATTTCTAAGGCTTATACTCATATCTATCTACATCTTAAAAACAGAAAGTTCCAATATATTAAATAAAGAAAGGACTCTGGTTAGACAGTATCTTACAGTATGATTTGCAGTATTGTTTGTCATTTAAGTTTTAAAGTAATACATGGGGCACCTGGGTGGCTCAGTCAGGTAAGCGTCCAACTGTTGATTTCCACTCAGGTCATAATTTCACGGTTTGCGAGATCGAGCCCTGTGTCGGGCTCTGCACTGAGCGTGCAGCTGGCTTGGGATTCTCAATTCTCTCTCTCTCTCTCTCTGCCCCTCCCCTGCTTTCTCTTTCTCTCAAAATAAAATAAACTTAAAGGATTAAATAAATAAGTAAATAAGTAAAATTAATACAATCATAGTAAAAGCATTCAGGGTGTTTTAAGGGTAGAATTCTCAATGTATATTAAAAAATCTCAAGATCTGAAGTATGTGCACATACATACCCATATACACATGTACACAAAGACTCTTACCATTATGTGAGTCTTCGCTTTTCCCTTCTGAATTACGAAAGTACCTCCCATCCCTACAGGCTTATCTCCATAATGTTTTTCAAGAGTCTGTCTCATACAAGTCACAAAGTTAAGTTTTCCAGTTCTTCTTTTGGCTTTCACCTCAATGACCTAGAGAGGACATAAATATGCATTCCATTGCTCTAAGTTGCAAAATTTTATGTGAATAACTATCATAATCTAATGCCATGAAGCAGTCACTTGTTTGCTTGGAGCACACACATAGGAGTTGAGCGAGATGTCTCAATCCTGTCTTGATCAACAATACATAGTGTGCGTGTGTGTGTGTGTGTGTGTGTGTGTGTGTGTGTGTGTGTGTGTAGGTATGTGTGTGTATGATGAGTTATCATTTACTCTAATAAGTCTTATTCATGTTTTCTTGGACAGAGAGAGTTATAGCGAAGTCTTCTACTGAGCTCTAGAGATTCTTATCATTTACATGTCAAGGCAGCAAAAGGTTGAGAATTCCTGGCTCAAAGGGGTTAACCTCTGGTAAGTCAGAAGGGAGGAGAAAGTGATTACATCTTTTCCTTTCCCTTAAAATTCTGGACTTGTGTTACCTCCACTTAATTAGGTCTTTTTACTTCACTACCTGGCTTCTCAAAGTAGCCGAAGTAGCTCCCTCTATTTAAAAATCTGAGAGTTCTCACAACTGCTAACATTGAAATGATCTTTTCGTGTTCTAACAGGGAGTAAACACGAGGTGAGGCATTAATTTTTTTTACCGCTTTCTTGATGTAATATTTTGCTGCCACAATTTCTGTCTAGCTCAACCAACGTCTGATCAATCAGCAATGAACAAATTACCTACATAGTAACTGCAGGTAGGTAGTATCTGTCTATTTCAGCTGCGTGGTTCATCTATTTGACTCACTCCGCACATGAATAGCATTACCTTTTATTCCTCAGAAAACAAGGTATTGCTTACTAAGTATTCTTCACCTCAGTTTTAAATAAGACTTTCACCTTACTTGTAGTACTCTCTGAATCTGTAATAAAATTTGGCTCAGCTGGTTTTGACTTTTAAGAAAACCGTACTTGTGGCAGTTAAAGTTCAAATTTTTAGCTATCTGAGAACTTCTGGAGAACACTGTGTCTTTGTGAACAAAAAATCACCTTTCCAGGTTGGCCCTCACTGGCAAAAAGATTAGCCAGTAACGCACACCCAAAATCGTGATATTTCTCACTGTATTTCTCGAGCAGGCACCCTCCATCTGCAGGGTTAACATGGGCAAAGTAACTTCCATTTACTGGAGATTTGTGTTCACTTTCTGTTTGAATAATTGGCATAAACTGAAAAGAAATGTAAATAAGAAAAGTAAATTAGTCAATCCTGGCATCAATATCCGAAGAGAATATCTTGAGGATCCTTGACTTGAGATATTTTATTTCAGGACCTATTAAGAAAACATGAAGTATGAAATATTTAATTTTAGATTCAAAATGTTGAAGATTTACAAACCTCAAAAAGTTGAAAAAACATTTTATAAAATGTCTAGTATTTCTTACAGTGTTTCAAAAACCTTCTAAACTGGGCTTTAAATTTTAGACTTTTTTCCTATCTTGAACACTAGGTAAATTATATTACTCTTTCTACAAAAGAACCTTGTATGACTATCGAGTAATGGTCACATCTGAAGAGATGAGGGAATGGGCAGACTCAAGAGGTCTTTTACTTTTCTGGTCCAGAGATGGGAAGAGACCGTGGTGTTTTTATGTTGTAAATATACTAACACACACAGGAATCAATAGTATCTTTTGTAAATAATCATTATGCCACTGGGGTAGGTCCTTGCTATTTAGTCTGAAAGAGGGAATTGACGAGATCATTAAATATTCCATTCATCTTCTCATCAAAAGCTGCTTTCATATCAAAAGGAAAGATTTACAGTGAAGGCAGAAATTCTCTGATGGATAAAGGATTAAAATCTTGCACAATCCAGAGACCTCAGCAGACCACATTAGGATGTTAGACTCATCTAACACAGAGTGCATACCCTAGAAAATCTGAAATTAGGGGCTGGTGCTCCATTATAGTGGAGCATAGGCTATAGTCCAAATCGGTACCAAACAATATCAAATCTATAAAGAAAGAGGATACCAATTCATTCAGAAAGCAGACTTTCGGGTAGGGCAATAAAAGAAAAATAGGTAGACTAAATGTCAAATCAATAAAATAAAATAAGAAAATAATAAAACAATTTAAAAAAATAATAATAAAATAAAGTAAAATAATTATATGTATGCTGACCTCACAGTTGAACCCAACAGTCTGAAATGGGCCTGCTCCTGCTCCAAGAATAAAAGCTCCAGGAAGCTTAATGTCTTTTGCAATCTTATTTACATCATAAACCTATACAAGAAGAAAAAATATTATTTAAATCACAACTTATACAAATCTGTACTTTTTTTTCACTGAGTCCATTAATACTTCCATGCCACATTGGTCAGTGGGTCTTCTAATAACAAAAAGAGGAATCAACTCAACTTCTAATAATCTTCATGTGAATGTGAAGAGTAAAAGTACACTTACTTTTTCTTTATTTGCAAGAGGCAATAAGTAAGGCACACCTCCTACTTCTGCAATTCTAGTTTTCCCACAGATGCCTAAAAAAAAAAGTAACTTTAAAAATAGGCAAACCTCGGGGCGCCTGGGTGGCTCAGTCGGTTAAGCGTCCGACTTCGGCTCAGGTCATGATCTCGCGGTCCGTGAGTTCGAGCCCCGCGTCGGGCTCTGTGCTGACAGCTCGGAGCCTGTTTCAGATTCTGTGTCTCCCTCTCTCTCTGACCCTCCCCCATTCATGCTCTGTCTCTCTCTGTCTCAAAAATAAATAAACGTTAAAAAAAAAAATAGGCAAACCTCTAACTTAAGTATAAAATGCCAAAAGGCACTAACTTATTTATTATTTAAAGGGTACCTAACTCTTCCATTCTTATAGTTTTACAAATAGTAGGGATTGAAAGACAGAAATAGCTATGATCCCTATCCTATTCTAACTACTTACATATCTAATACTGTCATTATCAGGCATAAAGGCAACGGAAAGTTGATAATAGAGAAAGGGCTAGAATTGAAGCCGAAGTTCAGATAGGATGAGAATTCTACAATTAGTCTGTAATGACCTATTCCTTTAAATATCTGTGCTTTGGGGGCACCTGGGTGGCTCAGTCAGTTAAGCATCTGACTTTGGCTCAGGTCATGATCTCACTGCTGGTGGGATCGAGCCCTGTGTTGGGCTCTGTGCTGACAGCTTGTGGCTCAGAGTCTGGAGCCTGCTTCGGATTCTGTCTCCCTCTCTCTGCCCTTCCCCCTCTTGTGCTCTGTCTCTGTCTCTCTCTCAAATATAAATAAACATTAAAAAAACTGAAAAAAAAATCTGTGCTTTTGGTAGAGGAGTTGGTTAAAATTGTACTTTAGTATAACGTATTTTGCTCCAGTAGAATATTAGTTCTTTAAGAAACCCATATTGGGTGGGGCACCTGGGTGGCTCAGTCCCCTGCTCATGCTCTGTCTCTCTCTCTGGGTCAAAAATAAATAAACATTAAAAAAAAATTTTAAACAAATCCATATTGGGAGATCCTCTTGTCAAAGTTGTTTATTCCCAAGGTTGTTTATGGAAATGCAAGTAATTAGAGATAACTTCAGACGTTGGGAACTTTCTACTCACACTTTTTTTTTTTTTTTTAACTGACACTTTTATTTTTTTTTTTTTAATTTTTTTTTTAACATTTATTTATTTTTGAGACAGAGAGAGACAGAGCATGAATGGGGAGGGGCAGAGAGAGAGGAAGACACAGAATCTGAAACAGGCCCCGGGCTCTGAGCTGTCAGCACAGAGCCCGACGCGGGGCTCGAACTCACAGATTGTGAGATCATGACCCGAGCTGAAGTCGGACGCTCAACTGACTGAGCCACCCAGGCGCCCCATACTGACACTTTCAATTAACATCACAGGTGCAGCTAGACACAACTTGGGAAAGGCACCTTCTTTTTTTTTAATGTAAAGTAGAAAAGGATTACTTTTTGTTTGAAAAAAAGCAGTCTTGTCAGTTTTATACTAACAATATCCCAAAATAAAGTATACACATACGTCGCTATTTCTTTAGCTATGCAGAAGGAAGATGTCCAGGATTTTTATACATCCCATTTATAATTAGGGATTTTAGAAATTTCTTCCATGGGATCAGCAGAAATTACTCATGGATAAGAGTCTTTCTCATAAGTGATAGTAATACTGAAATTTAAAGAAACCATTAGAGGACTATTTTAGTAGTCCTGGGAAAAGACAAGGAATGTGCTAAAAATGGGGACTGTAGAGATGGAGAAGAGTAGATTAAGAAAGAGGACAAGGGAGAATAGACAACTATGGTGAAGGATTGAGCTAAATTTTAGACATGCTGACCTCAAGTTGTCCTTAGCATATATAGGTGGAGATGTCCTGTGGACAGCTGGAATTACTCATCTATAGCCAAGAAAAAGACAGACCTACCTAGGTGAGATGTGCAGATTTCAAGTTCTTGTATCCACACAGTAATTTAAAGTCACAGGAGTGAATGGAAAAATGCAGAGAGATTGTACAGAATAAGAAGAGGTTGAGGAAAGAATTCCAGAAAATGTCAGGATTTAAGAGCCTGCCAGAAAGAGAAAGGAGCTAGGAAAAATGAGGAAGAAAGAACATCATGGAAGTCGGAAAGGTACCAAGGAAGAGAAGGCAAAAGAATCAAGGAAAAAGGAGCGAGAACTAAGGGGAGACAGAATGTCAGGCAGCCATGGCCAAATACTATGAAATATGTGAGAAACCAAATAATACTAGTAAACATATCAAAGTCATTGGTGACTTCAGTCAGACCAGGTAGAAAGTACCTAACACTTGTAAAAGATAAGATACATATAAACGTACATATCTAGCTTCCTTAGTGTTGCAATTTAAAGGCTTACAAGTTATCATCTAGAAACCTCTTTGGATGACAGAATTAAGATGAATCATTTTTCCTTTTCCTTGTACTCTTCTGTGTTTTCTGATTTTTTAATTTTACTTCCATTGACTACTTATTTAGTGGGGAGAATATATTACCTCTGGTACACAAAGCTTCCAGAATTTACAAGTATACTTAATGCTTGTTTGTTTGTTTGTTTGTTTGTTTATTTTGAGACACAGAGAGAGACTGCATGAGTGGGAGAGGGCAGAGAGAGAGAGAGGGGGGGACCCAGAATATGAAATATGAAGCAGGCTCCAGGCTGAGCTGTCAGCACAGAGCCCGACGTGGGGCTCGAACTCACGAGCTGTGAGATCATGTAGAATTTACAAGAATACTTAAAATCAGAGACTGTTTAAGCTGGAAAGACCCAGAAAGAAAATGAAAGCCAAATCTCTCCATTTTAATATATCTGAAGCCCAAATATATTATTTGGCTTCCTTAGGGTAATGAAATCTGTGCGTGGCAGAGAAAGAAGCAGAGTCTAGAACTTCTGTGTAAAATTACTTTTTAACAAAAAATTATAATTATGTCAGTAACATAATCAAAGAGGAAGCGTGAGTGTTTATCTCCAAATTCCTCATCACAATAGGATATAATGGGAGAAGGTCAGACTTTCAGAACAGATAGACTTGGATTTGAATCCTGATTATGATTACTGTTGATCTTGCCTAGCCTCTCTGAGCTTCAGTCTTCTCATCCCTAGACTGGGGCGAGCACTTACTTTGCAGGGTTATTGTCAAAATTAAGTCACCAAATATAGGTGTTTATCTATCATACAAATTATATTTACTCAACCAATATTTTTTCCCTTCCTTCTTACTTTAAACATCGGCTGGATGATCACTTGGCAAATAAGAATTTAACAGACGACTCAAATACAAGGCTTTCAAGATTCCTTCTGGTCTTGAATAAATAAATATAAACAGCGAAATTTACATTTCCTTAACAGTCGCTCCAACAGTTAAAAAACAAAACTCTCATGTGATATCAAGGATTCTAGCCTACTAAATATCGATGATAGAACCTGTGAAAATAACATAAGTGCATAAAACAGCATTTTCCCACAAAGGAATAAAACGAAATTTGCTCAATTTAAGAAAACTGCACAGAAATTCAGTACAATTTAGTCTAAAATTTGGGACAATATCCTTTATTTGTAGGTAATTTAAGACAATCCTTCATAATAATTTTAGTTCCAGAAGATGGGGACTGAAAAAAGTGAATTGCAAAAACTGTTTACCTTTTACAGGAAAGGTAAATGGCTCCTTAGTCAAATCAGGGCAATCGACCACAGACACGTGGACATCAGCAAAGTTATCTTTGAGGCCCTTCTGCAGAACTGACAGAAAAGGAAAAGGGTTAACATCAGGTAAAAATTTGCCACCATATATCAAATCTTCCCTCAACATTTTGGGTATCATGCTCTCAGTCTAAATTTGTATAATTAAAAGGCGGGGGAGGGAGAGGGCAAGGGGAGGGGCCTGGTTCAGTTGGTAGAGCAAGGGACTCTTCATCTTGGGGTCATGAGTTCAAGCCCCATGTTGGGCACAGGGCTTACTTTAATTAAAAAAAAGAGAGAGAGAGAGAGAGAGAGGAGTGCTTGGGTGGCTCAGTTGGCTAAGCGTTCGACTTGGGCTCAAGTCATGATTTCACGGTTCTTGGGTTTGAGCCCCACATTGGGCTCTGTGCTGACAGCTTGGAGCCTGGAACCTGCTTCGGATTCTGTGTCTCCCCCTCTCTTTGCCCTTCCCCCACTTGCATTTTTTCTCTCTCTCTCAAAAATAAATAAGCATTAAAAAAAGAGGGAAATGGTCTTACTAATGAATATAACTAGCCATTAGACACACAATCACAAGGTCTTATTAATATAATTAGACACCAACACACAATTAATCACAAGACAGAATTAAACACAAATAATCCCCATCAAAATCACTATAGATCTGTAGAGATTTAAACACTGCACTAAGGTGAGGACTACTTTTGTTTTGCAGACAGAATTCCAAAGACCTATTGAAATGTCTATATTTAAATTGTTAGACAGTAAGCAATTACATGTAACAACTTCATGGACACTTGAAGAGAAAACGTTGAGCAAAAGGAGTAAGACACAAAAGACTTTATCAGACTTCACTTACACATACTTCAAAATCGGGCAACTCATCTAAGGTGACAGAAGTCAGAACGGTGGTTACCTCTTTGGGTAGAGATAGTGACTGGCTAAATACCTGAAGGAGTCTTCTGGAATGCCGAAGTATTTTATATCTCAGTCTGGGTGGTAGTGACATGAGTGTAAGCATGCTAAAATTCATCAAGGTGTACACTTAAGATTAGTGCACTTTACTGCAGACATGTTGTAACTCAATACAAAAAGGGAAAAAAGAAACCTATTTCAAACTTATAATGCTAGGAGCAATGTACTTCTAAGGATGGAAAGTTTCCATAAAAACTTCTCTGATAGTAGTGTCAGTCATTAGTTTAAGTTTTGTAGAATCAACCTCTCCAAAACATGAAGTCATCCTAAATCTAGCCACATAGACATTCCATACCAGATCTTTTATCCATATGAAAACAGAAACCAGGGGCGCCTGGGTGGCGCAGTCGGTTAAGCGTCCGACTTCAGCCAGGTCACGATCTCGAGGTCCGTGAGTTCGAGCCCCGCGTCGGGCTCTGGGCTGATGGCTCAGAGCCTGGAGCCTGTTTCCGATTCTGTGTCTCCCTCTGTCTCTGCCCCTCCCCCGTTCATGCTCTGTCTCTCTCTGTCCCAAAAATAAATAAAAACGTTGAAAAAAAAATTAAAAAAAAAAAAAGAAAACAGAAACCAAATTGCCTGGAAAATTCCCCTAGCTAAACTAATGACAGCAGACTTATCAATATGGAAATTATAATATTTCAGCATGTGGAAATACTGTTAAATCTATTTTTTACCGATTTCAAGGAGACCAAATTCTTGCTGTAGGACTTTATGTAAAATTGAAAATCAATTGCAAGCCAAAAAACTTAGATTCCAATCTATTTTGTACTGAAAATATCCTGTACATATAGAAAGAACATATAGAAACACAGACACACAAGCGAAGATAGATGTAGAAAGGCCCTCAAAGAAAAGATTCCTAGCTGTCTTCTATAACAGGGAAGACAGAAAGACTGACAGAAAGAAAATACAGGCAAAGAATACTAGTCATACAGATGATTTGTTAGCCGCCATCCCACTGAGGAAAAACTAGGAAGGTCAGAAGAAGAGAGTCATAACCAAGCAAAACCTGAGTACGCTTTTTGACTTCAACCTTAATCAGGAAGACAGATGAACTGTCAGGATGGGTGCACTTTGAAAAGTAAGGGTAGGTTTTATACTCGCCGTCAGAATACAAGCTAGAGGCCATCAATCAAATGTTAGCTTTCTGACAGGCTATACAATTTTGGCTTAGTACTATTCCTGGCTTCATTTCATATTCTTATTTTTACTTTCTTTTTCTTATCTGTCACCCCACCTAATTCATCTTGCGAAGCTGCCTTAAATTCCTATTTGAACAAGGGGAAATGCAGAAAAATATATACAGAAATCTAAGCGAGTTCATTGGCAGTCTATCATATCAGGAGAAGGGGAAAAAGTAGTAATGTTAGGAACATGGTTAATATACCACAGATTTTATACTTAAAGAATATTGTAACTGGTAAAAAGCTAAAATGGTGTGACTTTTCGGGCATCACGCATACTTAAGTATTGGATTACTATATTCATTTTCACTCTGTAAAGTTGGTATCTTAACAAGAATCTTCAAGTGGTGAGGTTACTTTTTTTTTTTTTGGAGGGGCATAATTTCGGACTTTCTCAATAAAAATAGTACAGAAGAGACACCGAAAAGGAAAATGAGCTCTGCACTGAAAATACTATCACATAAATTATGTCTTACAATATTTTTATTTTTAATTGTTTTCCTTAGAATAATTTAAAAACCCTTCAGTTACTATTGTATTTACCTCCAACAAGCTCCTCAAGACTTGGCACGTGAAAAGAATACTCAGCGCAAGCCATTTCTTCTTGAGATGCAAGGATGTACACGTAAAGCTATGGGAGGTTAATGATCACAAGAGTTCCCCGTAAACGAAGCATGAACAGCTGTTGTTCTGGAAGGAAACACTAAGAGTTCAGTTATATAAAAAGGGCAGAAGGGCATTTGGGTTTCTATCCTCATAGAAAGGCAATCACAGCTTCTGGTATTTAATATTCCAAGCGAGAAATGCACAAGTAACCTTTTTTTAATACTGATTCTTTAAACAGTCAACACTTAAAATAGACAAGAGGAAATGCCAAACCAAGAAGGCACATGATTCTTTAGTCATATATGTGAATTAAACACGTAGTTTTCTAATGGTTGATCTAAGGAATATAGGTCCTGAGGCAAAAAGTAGTTTTTAAGGTTTATAGATAACTGTTTAAACGGTTAGAGATAACAGTATAAGATGCTCAAGGAATTAATTCTCTCATAGATAATTTGTGTCTTCTATATTTGACATATAGGCTAAAAATTAAGCAAGTTTCTTAGACTACCACTTTTGCAAAAGAAATTTTAAATTACTAAGAAAAGTGCAAAATTCTGCAAACGAGTAGCTACTGAAACTCAAAGTATTACTTTTACTTACAAATAAACATACTTTCTTGGTAAGCAGCTTTAACGTTCAATTATTCTAACCTGATTATAGTTTGATGTTTTAAAAATATATGCTAAGTATATTTTACAATAGGGAAACATATATACACAGAGATTAGTATCTTACCTTAAGAGTTCAGGTGAGGTGATGAAGCATGCAAGCAGAGGGAGGTAAATAAAATGAAGGGGAAAAAAAAAAACCCTAAAACCCAAGCAAAAATAATGTAAGGTGGGCAGGGGATCCCGCTCTAGGCCAACTGCAATAAACAATGCTGGTAACATTCTTAAGGGTGTTTCTAAGAGCACTATTCAGATTCTCATTAAAATTGTTAATGGAACATCTCATTAATTATTAACCTGAACAGTCTTGATACAGGCTTGCTTAGTAAGTGGAAGGTGGTCTTTCAACATCACTTGAAAAATTCTCCCTCCCCCCCATTTTTTTTTTTTTTTTTTTTTTAATTTTCCAAAGTTTCGCAGGTTTCTTAGAAACTGGGCTTCTGGTTTTGGTGGGGATTTCAAACAACATATCCTCAACAAACATGCTAGCGCATACATGTAGGACTTAACGTTCACATAAGTACCTCATCAAATACCAACTTTTATTACCCTTTAATTATATGCATAATCTAGTCTCCCAAATAAAATATAAACTGTTGATAATGGGCCCTGAGTCCTATATAATCATATTTCAATGATCTCAAGCATGTTTTTCAGTTGAACAATTTATAATTGTTCAAGAATGAGACATTTTAACTTTTTCTCTGGAAATTAATTTCAGATGGACAGAAAACACACAGATATTCCTGTATACCTTCACCTAGATTTTCCAAATTTTAACATCTTAACGTTTTTTCAGAAAGCAGCAAGTAATAATCAAGAACATGTCAAAATCTGCTCAATACTATATTTATAATGAGGAAAATAAAAGCACTCTAGATATTTTTATTTATAGTAGGACTAATAAAGACAAGCTTAAATTCAAATATAATCCTAATTTTATACTTTGTGCTACCTTGAAAAGGTCAGGGTTTTTTTTTGTTGTCGTTCTTTTTTGTTTGTTTGTTCGTTTGTTTTTCTTTCCTCACCAAAACAGAAACAAAGTCCAAACCCAGGAGGCTACAGCTGAATAACTGATTTGGAAATGTAGAACTTCAGGTTAGCGAACAGCCCAGAAGGCAGCGGTAGTGTGTGTGTGTAAGTGTTTATGTGGGAGGTAGGGCTGGAGGTTGGAGCTGGGAGTGATGAGAGAAAGGGGTTAGAAAAAGGTTTTTTTTTTCATGTTTATTTTTGAGAAAGAGACAGAGTGTGAGCAGGGGAGGGGCAGAGAGAGAGGGGGACAGAATCCGAAGCAGGCTCCAGGCTCTGAGCTGTCAGCACAGAGCCTGACGTGGGGCCTGAGCTCACCAACTGAGAGATCATGACCTGAGCAGAAGTCAGAAGCGTAACTGACTGAGCCACCCAGGAACCCCAGAAAAGTTTTAATACAGGGGCACCCGGGGGGCTCATTTCGCTAAGCGTTCGACTTTGGCTCAGGTAATGATCTCATGGTTTGTGAGTTCGAGCTCTGCTTTCCACACAGTGCCCACTTCAGATCCTCTGTTTCTCTCTCAAAAATAAATAAACATTAAAAAAAAAAAAAGGTTCTAATACAAACTCAAGAGTGGCTCTAGGAGGACAGCTTTGGGAGCACAGGATATTTACCCTCCAGATTCCATTGCTGGGAGTCAGTGGCCCAGCAGTAGGGCCTAGAGATGGAAAAAATATAAATAGAAGGCAGTTGGATAAGTGGAACTGCAGAAACAATGCCTAACAGGGTAGAACAACTGTAGCAACCAAGCTGATAACTTTTTATTGAGTGCATGCTATATTAATAGGTACGTACGATATGCCACTTTACATTCTCTCAAAACCTCTCACTCCAAAGAGATAATACATTTCTCATTCCACAAAAGCGGAATAGGCCAGAGAGAATGTATTGAGATCACCCAGCTATTAAAAGAAAGATTTAAAAAAATAATTGAAAATCAAATGTAGCCCACTGTAAAGGCAGAACTCTGAGGTTAACCTGAGATAGAATGACACAGCTCAGCTCACAGACGGAAGAATTTGCATACAGTCATCTTGAGAGCACTCAGAGGTGTCATCTGTTTGGTTTGTTTCTTCCTGCTAGGCAGTGAGTGATCTTTTTGAAGATAGGACTAGGGCTCTCTTATCTGTCTTCCGAGTGCCTTCCTAGTAGGCACCATTTCAGCCTTAATTATTTATTGAACGTTTACAACGTGTCAGACACATAAGTCTCTGGGATAGGGCTGGCTTGTGGGTGTGCAACTAGCATAATTGCACAGGGCCATGTATTCAGAACAGCACTTGGTTTAGTGCTCTGCTGTCCACCACCCTGCAATTCTTAACTTTATATTTGAACTTTTAGGACCACTAGGACAATGGAGCACGTGCAGGATCAGAAGCCGGAGGTGCATCGGGCATGTCCACCACCACCATTCCTTGCTACTTCACTCCCATAATGCATTTGTGAAGCCCCAAGAACACAGAAATCTAGTGGACCCACCACCTGTGGGAGTTCAGGGAGACTTAAGGTCCCGGATTGCATAGTGTTGGTGTTGCATACATCAAGAAGTAAAAAAAAAATATGTTAGTTTTGTGCAGTTTCCACTGTTCTGGTAAGAACAAAATACATGTTTGTATGAGCTACAAAATACATATTGTGAAATTTAAGCAATTCTGCATACGAGTTGACTGTTCTTTCATCTGTATTTAAAACTGGCACTGCACGATAGAAAAAGTAAAACATGCTAATAATTTAAATTTAAAAAATTTTTAATGTTTATTTTTGAGAGAGAGACCGAGCGCAAATGGGGGTGGGGGTGGGGTGGGGGTGGGGGGTGGGCAGAGAAAGAGAGACAGAGACATAGAATCTGAAGCAGGCTCCAGGCTGCAAACCGTCAGCAACAGAGCCCAATGCATCGGGCTTGAACTCACGAACTGGGAGATAACCTGAGCCGAAGTCCGATGCTTAACGGACTGAGTCACCCAGGCGCCCCCAAATTTTTATTTTGACATTAAATAGCAAATTTCTATTAACAAATGAATACTAACATGCTGTTATAATTAATAGAAAGTTGATGCTATTAGTTGAAACACGGTGACAAGCCAAAGGAGATACTAGAAGAAAGGAGAGAGCTTACTTTTTAGTACCTTTAGTGGCGCTTCGCCCTGCTGTTCGAACAAGGGAGCCTGTATTTTTATTTTGTACGGAGTCTCACAAATTACATGGCCAGGGCGGCTCCCAAATATGACAGCGAGTAACACGACCATACCTGTCGTGGCGTTTCCAAGTAGTTCATAGACTTGTGGAAATGCCCGCCTACCTAAGGGATTCGACTTTTATGCCTGGAATTTTTCAGTATGTAGAGAGAAACTATGTAAAGAGATCAGTTTACCTTCAAGGTCTGTTCAATCCTGAGACCACACTGACTCTACGGGACTAGGCAACTTTACGGGTCTATCATATGATACAAGAGATCTGAAAGTGGACACACCAAACCAGCTCATTCCTTTTTGTAACTCCTTTAGGAGAAAGAAAAAAACCACCCAAACTAGACTAGTTGAAACTTTTAACACTCAGTAGCCGTTCGGGGAACGAAGTCAAACACCCAGAAGAAAAAATCCACCGCTGGTGTCTCTTGCGACACGTTGCCCAGCTCCAGGAGGCTGACCCTCAGTTTGGAGGGAAAGAGTGAGCTAACAAAACAAGTCCAAAAGTGGAGAGGGGAACCGGGTGTGCAATGGAGTAACACCGGCTTCCAGTACAAAGGTACACATTTTGAGTCAAGGTCAAGGCAGGGGTCTGTCACAGTTTCACACAGAAGAGATTTCTGAAGACAGAAGTAGATCTAACAAAACACAGCCGGCACCACACTCACCTCCACGCACACACCCCCGACCAGGCTTTAGGAAATCAGACGGCGGCTCAGCAAATGCGAGACACCGGAAACAGATCAGGCTGAGTGGCTGCCTCCTGGCAGTTCACACCCACTCCGAAAAGTTGACCCCATTTGCCGAAAAGTTCTTGGCTATTCCATTCACCTATTCAGTTAGCCGAGCCGACTCCTGAACCGCGAGAAATGCGTCTGTCAACCCCGCCTCCTCCGCTTTAGGGAGCTCAGGCACCGCCCACCCCAATCGCCCCGCCCCTCGCGGCGATCAAAATGGCGCTCCCGCATCTTGCTGCTTCCCACCTTTCACGTTCCTCGTGGCGTCAAGTGTTCTCGCGAGATTTCGGGCCCACTATTAGCTGGGTGGTGCGATGGGCCATCCTTTTCTTTCGAGAGGACGTGGAGGTAGGTGGTCCTAGGCGCGTTGGGGTGCTGCGGTCAGGAGGTTGCCGGATGCGGACCTCCGAGGCCTGGGTTGCTCAGCCCGTGCCGAGCCGGCGCTCCTGGTGCAAGCCGTTTGCCAGTTTTGGTGGGTAGGAAGAGGACGTGATCGTCCGGGCCTGGTGAGCGAGGGAGGAGCTAGGTTTCCCCGGGATCCTCGCGTTGCCCGGCAGGTTGCCGCCACAGCGCAGAAGGCAGGCCCTGAGGGTGGTGGGCTCGCGGCTGTGGGCCTAGTGGCTGGATGGCGGCCCACACCTACGCGTTTGTAGGCGTGCTCCGTTGTATGTTAGTGAAGTTGTTAAAATTAAGTATTACGGGCGAGCACACGTTTTGTTAATCTTCGTAAGTGCGAGGTAACCATTTCTGACGCCATTTTCCTTGCATGAGGTTGGGTGCTTCCTGGAGACATTCTGCTCGAAGGTCAGGCATAGTGAGTGGTTGAAGGGGTTGTTCACCACCACGCACGAGCGCCGGATCGTGGGACGGAAGCGACACTTAGGAGTGCTTTCTTTAAAAATTTATTTTAATGGTTATTTATTTTTGAGAGAGAGTGTCGAGTAGGGGAGTGGCAGAGTCGGGAGGCAGGATGGGGCTCGAGCTCAGGAACGGTGAAATTGACCTGAGCTGAAGTGTACAACCGACTGAGCCCCCCAGGGGCCCCAGGAGTGCTTTCTAAACCGTTTCCGAAAAAGTGGTTTTTGAGTTAATGCCACTGTGACATTTAAAAGGCAGATTTAAACTCCGGTATCCCATCAGTGCCATTGGACCCAATTTTTGTTAAATTGCTGTTTTTGGGCAATTCATGAATTCGTAGATTTTGCATTTTGAAAATGCAAAGCTGCAACAAGACATATCCTGAAAATTACCACGAGTCCGTTGGGTATTTTGCAGATACAAGATCTGTGTGACTTTAAGGATTTCCTGAGTTGAGATATTTTGCCATTTAATTCTAGGATTCCTTCCTTACTCAGTTGTCCTTCCCAAGTAAAGAGTAAACACAAGAGCGGAAGAATGTAGGCATCACCTATGGGGGAGATGAGGTAGCAAACTAATAAGACAGTTTTTGCTTTGTTATTGTAAGAGCTTCCAAGGAGATTAAAACAAGAGAGATGAAGAGCACCATTGTGTAGTCTGTTAGCCTTTCCTTGAAAAGTTTGAGAATTCAGGACTTATCAGGAAATCCTATATGCCGAGGTAGAAATTTCACAGTGACTTGGAATCACAGTATGAATGAGAAGAGGCTACAAATAAAAAAATGAGGCCAGCGGTTTGGATTGACAGAGTAAATCGTGGGGATTATTTCTCCTGATACACTGAGGCAGCATTGCCTCTTGCCTTTGGATGTAGTTTTTCCTGGGAGTGCTCATCTGCTCTTAACAAATGGCTTTTTGGCTATTAACGGTGTGTTAATACTTGCACACAATATGGCTAGTGAATTTACATTCTGTATTACGGGAAGATGTTTAATACTTTTTTTTGGAAATGTACTATAATCTTATTCCACTTGGATAGATTGAGAAGACACAACTGAAAGATGGAAACCATGAATTCACTTTGTAGATTTTAGAATTTTTGATTTGAAATGGATAGTTCCTATATAAAAATATTAAAGGCCTTGTATTTGATTTTTTCCTTAATTTACATAAAATGGCATTATCTGACTACGTGAAATTTTGTTTCGATAATAGCTGTTTATGTTAGCATTCGTTCGGAGAAGCCACATCATGTTTGCCGAGTTGTCGGAAATCTGAAGCAAGTAATAAGTGATGAATAATTTGGAGAGGGGCTTGGAGAATACATAACAGGAATGAATTCTCTGAACCCTATAATGGCATCTGATTCAGCTGTGGAAATTGAAAATCACAGGTAAGTGCTTTTTAAGTTTTTTAATCACCCATTACTAGATTTTTATCGCAAAGCTGACTAAATTTGATGGTAATGTTTATTGTATTTGAATTACCTAGTAAGCAGTAAAGGTAATTTTCAAGAATTAGAAAAGAAAAGGAAAACCTGTTACAGGTCTTCGGCTTGTTTATATAATTAACAGTGGGACACATTCTTAACCAGGGAAGCAATACTCTTGGCCAGTTTGGTGTCTCTTCCTGACGAAATTACTCCTACAAACGGGCAATGGACATCAGTGGGTGATCTTGCTTAAAAATTACTTTGTGATACTGCACATTATCGAGAATGCTGCCATGTACATGTATATATATATGATGGAAATATCTAGTTAACCGGGAAATGAAATGGGCATTTATACTGTATTCAAGTCAAATGTTTACTTTGTTCCTCTAGTTTTATTTAGAGCAAGTTCTAGCAGTAAACAAGACCGTCTTTGGAAATTAATATTCTTTCTTTTGGAAGATCATTTTTTGGTAAATGCTATGAGATCATGGCACTATAGGCCATTTTCAGCAGTTAGAACGAAATAGTTGGCTTAGTACTGAGCCCATCTTTTTAAAAATTATTCTGAACATGTTTTCCTGCTTTTGGTCTGTGGAAGAAAAGTGTATTACAGTAATCAGTATTCAGTAATACAAGAGGGTGTGATTAATTTTTCCCCTTTTTCTTCCAGTGATAATTCTTCATCTGGTAGCAGCTTATTTAAAACTCAGTGTGTCCCTTCCTCACCTAAACCGAGGCAAAGAAACCCTATCAGAAAATTTGTTTATTCACCTGAAAGTGTTCAAGCAAAGGATTCCTCTAGTGACTCATCTTTAGAACCAAGACCATTGACTTTAAAAGCTATTTTTGAAAGATTCAAAAAAAAGAAACGTAAAAAGAGGAAATACAAGCCAACAGGAAGACCAAGGGGAAGACCAAAAGGAAGAAAAAATACTAGACGCTCCCAAATAAATAGGAAACAAGTTAGAGACAAAGGATCTGGGTTCCCATTTTTAGAATCAGAGAATGAAAGAAAACCACTACCTTGGAGGAAGATTTTAACCTTTGAGGTCAGTATTTTATAAATGTGGATACACATAGCCAAAATGCCTGAAATGATTTGTTGGCCACTTTTTAGTGCCCCCCCCCCCTTTTTTGTAAAGTTTGTTTTTTTAAATGTTTACTTTTGAGACAGAAAGAGCATGAGTGGGGGAGGGACAGAGAGAGAGGGAGACATAGAATCTGAAGCAGGCTCCAGGCTCTGAGCTGTCAGCACAAAGCCCTACGCAGGGCTCGAACTCATCAACTGTGAGATCATGACCTGAACTGAAGTCAACCGCTCAACCAACTGAGCCACCCAGGTGCCCCTGTAAAGTTTTATTTTTGAGTGAAGGAGCCCACAAGCGAGCTGGGGAGAGGTATAGAGAGGAGGAGAGAGAATCCCAAGCAGTCTCTGCTGTCAGTGGTGAGCCGGAAAAATGTGGGGCTCAATCTCAACATTTGCCAGCCCCGTTCCAGGGAGTTTGACACAAGCATTCCAGGAGATGTCTGGATTTAGATTTCTCTAGAACTTAGCCCCGCTTGATTTAGGATAAATAAGGTCAGACACTACTTTGCTTTCAACTGTATCTCTTTATTCTTTTGGTAGTCTCTTCCAGAGTTAACTACTTGTGTTTGTAGGTGACGAAATGTGTAAGGAATTCATGTCTAATAATTGGCACAGCTATAAGCACGGTCTTTCCCTTTACTTGAACAGAGTTAAGACTTGTGGTTCTTGTTTTTTACATTCCATTCCCAGAAGTAGTTTTCACTGTAGAAGTTACCTGCAGTTGGTCTTAGGCTTTCTAGCAGTAATCTACAGCCGGTCTCCCATGACCTGAGCCTAAATCCAGAATTAGATTCTCAACCAACTGAGCCATTCAGGCTCCCCTTGGTGGCCACTTTTAGAATTGAGATGTACCTGGAACATAAAATCTTCAACTTTGTTAATACTCTTCTGTACTAACTGCCACTTCAAGACCACAACCCATCCTTCAGCACAAATACCACTTGGGTTCCTGGGTGGATTCTTCACTGGTCTATTCAGTGAACATATCCATATATGAGGTGTTTCAAGGCTGTTTATATAAAGTCACTTGATTTAATCAGGCCTTTAAACACTCCTAAAACTGAAATGATTCCCAGTGGTTTTATGGTAACCTAAGCCAAACCTATCCATACCTTCCATGTGCAGTGGCTTTAGAATAGGCCATTTTCTTCTGATACCAAATACTCAATTTCTGATAGAACTGCCCAACAATTACTTAGCAGTAAACTCTCAAATATTTTAGTTAAATGACTGCATAATTCATAAGTCTCTTGCTCTAGAGTTGATGACATATTTGAAAGAGTATTCTCTAAGCTTTTGTTTTAAGCTAATTCTCTTATAGAGATTTGTTTCTTTGGGAGCTTCTAAAGACATTTTTTAATGCAAACAAGATTTGTGCTTAGGTTTTCTTGCTATACCAACGTAGGTAAATTTGGTAATATGCTAGGTAGACCATGAATTCCTTTTAAAACCAGCATCTGGCATATGTGGCCCACATATGGCAGAGTAACTAAATCAAGATCATATAAGAGTTTTTAGCAGAGGGATCCTTTCTATTTTGGAACATAAGGCATCTGCTGAGTCAGGGAAGTTTTTTATTTTGTGAGGCCATTACTTACAATACAGCGTTTTTATGTAGCAAGCAGTGGCAAGAGGATTTTTCAACTACCTTGAAAAGCTGAAGTATGAATACTACCTCAAGGAATCCTTGAAACAAATGAATGTTGGTGAAGATTTAGAAAAAGAAGATTTTGACAGTCGTAGATATAAATACTTGGATGATGATGGATCTCTCTCTCCTATTGAGTCAGAGTAAGTTTACTCACGTGAAATAATTTTGGTCATAGGTTTTGTCGAATTAAATGTTTTTGAACTTTAATGTTCCATATCATGCTATCAATTTGTTTATATTTTGCAGTAAACCATTTGGGTTGGTAGTTGAGCTGAGTTTGGCACATGAGACATCCATTTTGGGGTGTTACACATGATAGCGTAAATTTTCTTTTTAATTAGTATTGATGTTTCAGTTGTACATCATGACAGTATACTACTAATGGGTTCTAGAAGTTTTTGTCATCTGAGTGAGGACATATTTTAATGTTACAGAGCAGAGGATGATCTTGCAACAAATCTTGAACATGATGACGAATGTGATATCAAATTGGTGGTAAGTGACATTTTTGTCTCATTTCGTCTTAGAATAGCAGTTGGTACAGGAAGAATTTATTCTACTAGTTACTTAGATTCGGAATTTAGTTTTTGAAAAGCTTAATAGATTTGGTGCAGGAAATAAAAATAGGGATTATTTGGATACTTACCTGGTGAGAACATGGGCTTTTCAGTAATTGCTATTAGGATGTCTAGTGAGGAAAAGAAGCTGAATTTGGATTTTTAACATTTAGACCGTCTCCAGGTTTTTTCAGTAACCTAGAGTTAAGTTATGTGGGATAACAAAAGCAGTAAAATTTAGTTGTTGCTTAATATGGATGTTTTTTATGCAGGACCATAATTATTTCATAGTAAGTTCTGAAGTACCAAAGAAGAAGAATGTGTATTTAGAACAAGAGGAATATACTGAAGAAGCAGCTGTGTCTAAAAGGAGAACATCAAGGTCCAAAAACATTGGACAGAGGATAGAATGGTCTGAAAAGGAGATAGGAATATGAATGTTAAGGTAATCAGCACAGAGAAAAACAGCTTTTCATAGAAAATAAAGATGATAAATGCAAATATATATGTCAGTGATAAAAATGAATCTAAGGAGAAAATAAAAAGAACCTGAACAAATTAGTGAAACTCTGAATTATCAGGAAAAGCATTTTAAAGCTGTGGAATTGTTTACATGTAGAAAAGAATTAAGGCTTGCATAGCAGAAATAATCATGTGATAAATAATAAACAGGATCCTACTGTTTTTGTCCATACTTTGTTTCAGAGCAAGAGCTTAAAGGTGTCATTTTGAGCAAAGAAGTATGGAGATTATCTCCTGAAAACCTTTATTAAAAATGTAATCACTGATTGACATCTCCTCAGGATACCTGAAGCCGTTTTTATCCCAGTTTTATTCAAAGACCTGTAGTGTCAAACGTGTTATTGTAATAAGAACTTTCTAACTACCTAGACTGTGTCAACTACAATTTTCTTCTCATCACCACTGTATATTGCTGATTATGCCACTAAATAACGCTGTATTGATTGCACTTGTGCTTGTTTTTGTTCAGTTTTGTGGACAAAGACTTAGACAAGTGCAGAAAATAAATCCTCTTTTGCAACCCAGAACTCATGGCTCAATATGAGTTTTGATACATGTAAGAAGGAACAAGATCCCTACAACCAACTAAAGTGATGGTGGGGGGTTTGATAAACTTGAAAGTTGGTTTCAGGACTGTAGAATGACTAAAGCACAAGACAAAAGGGAATTCTCAACTATGGTGAATTAGTATTACGATTTTAATGTTGACATAAAACAAAGATGCCTTCTTGTTGTAGGCTTTTCATTTGAGAGCACAAAGTCTGGACTTAAAGGTATGTCTTCTGCTTTCAGTGAAGGAATGTCTTTTGGTGAATTTTTGGATCAGATTTGTTTAAATGTACTTTATCAGATAATATAAACCTCTACAGGTTTCATTGTTGAAAGACATTTTCCCAGTTTTAATTTGTTTATGACGTGATTTCAGAAAAAGATTTTAGAGTTCATACATTTTATAGTGACAGATGCAAGCTTTACTTCACTTACAGGAAGGGGTCCCCAAACTGTAACTTAGGTTATGGCAATAATCAGAATACAGGATATTCCCACTTTAAGCATCTACGTTAGCTTAAACTAATGCATAATCTAAAATGAGGTTTAGGACTTAATAGTGTAATGTTAGAAATGATTACACAAGATTTCCTAAACCTGAATGATGGAAAGGTTAATTCACAATCATCCAATTTCTTTTATTATCTTCCAGGGATTCCTGAATGGGAAGAACATAAGTACAGCCATATTAATATTTTCCTGAAAATTTTTTAAGTCAAATAACTGTAGTTCTTAAAATGAGGCAGAATCTTAAACATTTTGCTGTAATCCTGGGAATTTCATTGGAGTTTGTAAAAATCAAGACTTCAGACATGGAAATCTTTTTCCTTTGGTGGTTCTAGAATAGCTACTTGTCTATCTCAGTATACACTCTGGTAACCAACCATTCAGAAAATCCTTATCATGCGATTAAATTATGGAATAAGTTTGTTGTAAATAGGATGTTTGGCTTTTTGCACAATTTTGAACTCAGATTTAGAGCAAATCACAGGTCTAATTGTTTTCTTGTGGAATCTTCAGTTTTAAAACTGTAAACAGTGGTTGAGGTCTATCCCGATGGGGCTTTTTCTGTAGACCTACATCGTTGGAAACGCCTCATAGAGTATATGTGTGGTTTCCTTTATTCACAGAACTATGTGTTAGATCTGTGGGAAAGAACTACAAGACATCTATCTGCTAAAACATTGAAAGACCTAACGGTCATATGTTTTAAATCTTAGGTATTGGAGTATCCCAAGAATCTGTATAGTTCAGGGCGTGCTAGTTTAGGTAAGTTTTTGTTGGGGACAGTGTAATCTTGGGGGCACCGTTACAGTTCACATGATGAATTTAACTGTTCAACTGCTGAATGATTACAGACATGAACTAAAACTTGATTCTGACGGAGCTGACGATAGCTTAACAAAAAAAACCCATGGTTGTCAATTTGGATGCTAAGCACCTATTAGATTTTAATCACACATTTAAATTGTTCTTAATCTTTTATTTGGTATTTTATCTGTAGGGGTGAATATGATTTGAACTCATTTACGTTTAGAGGTAGGTGGAATGTTTAATTTTTGTTGAAATTTATTAAGAATTCAAAAGTACTGAAAAAATGTGAGTTGTGAGTATGGTATCCCATTACTGTTGTGCCTCGTAGTTATTTGGGTATGCCACAGAAGTATTAGATCTTAGGGTGCCCAGGTGGTTTAGTCAGTTGAGCAGTCCGACTCAGTTTTGGCTCAGGTCATGATTCCAGGGTCATAGGATTGAGCCTTGTGTCAGGCTCTGCGCTGAGCGGGGAGCCTGCTTGAGGTTTTCTTTCTTTCTCTCTCTCCCTCTGCCCATCTCCCCCACTTGTGTGTTCTCTAAAATTAAAAAGGTGTCGAGATCTTGGCAAAGGTACTTGGCATGATATTTATACACCGAATTGGACAAACTGAGGAGACTGCATGTCTAGGGAATAACATGAAAATGCCCCCTCCCGTCTTGTATCCTTATGAAACCATTGCTATGGTTCATCCTAATAACCTGTGTATTTGGATATGTTACAGTACGGATATTGAATTTAAATTCTGCCTAATAGCAATCGGAGCTACAGATTGATTTCTCAATCCACAAGCCACAGTCTTGATTTCTAATGCATCATTTCTTTTAGTATTTGACTTAATAGTTCTGTATGTATAATACAGAGACAGGATAAAGATAATGGGGACTAGATTTATAATTTCAGATGCAGTTAATGTAGTTGCCTCATTGGGATGATAATTAGGAATAAAAGTCAAATTACAGATTACAAGAACTTAAATCTCTAGAGATAAGTTTCTCAGTGGTGTTGCAACCTTGAAGTACAGGGGTTTACAGTTCAGTCATGATTGCACTGCATGGTATCTGCATTCAGCAGCTTGTTCCTGCTGGGTGTTCAAAGGACAGTGCAATATCAATTCAGTATCTGGCATCGTTGGTTTTCTTGGCTTCGTGCATGTTAAACCTGGTATTTTTATTGAAACAGTATTCCTATAGTTTTTCATATTACTGAATTTGAGATCATCTTTGATAGGAACTAATGCTTCTCTTTTTTTCTAGGGTGTTTGAAATTGAGAACCAGGGGTCCATCTAGTCTGACCCTAAACATGTAAGGTTTTCTATTTCTGTTGCTTCTGGTGGGTGCTTTTATTGCTAGCAAACAGCAGGACTTCTATATGGAATCAGAAACCTTTGTATAGCTTATACATAAGCTTGAGAGGAAATTTTTAAAAGCCTCATTCATTCTAAGGTGGAAGTGGGCACTATCATTCATGGTGTCCAGGAATTGTTAATGTGGCTACATTGAGACACAGGTAATGCTTGCATCACAGCAAGTTTATTGCAGTGGTGACAATGAGACCTGTAACATTTTCTGCTAGGCCTGTGGAGTAGAGTGGAAGTAACAAGACTTTCCCATATTGGAAGCAATTAAGGGATAACAATTTTATAGATCATTTGCCCAAACAGCAATCAGTGTAATTCTTAAAACTTGATTTCTAGGGCCCTAAAGTAAAAAAAACTGGATCCCAAAGATTGCAGGTAAGATTTCCCCTCAAGTGCCCAATCTTACAGGAGTTGAAAGCTTTTTCTTTCATAACACTTCATTAATGTTCCTAATGCTTTGGTTTACCTAATTTTGGCAACAGCTAATCCTGGTGGTTTATTGTATCCTAATTAAAAAAAAAAAAAAAAACCCTAGATATTAACGTGTGTTTATACAACTTGCCAGTGATTTGTGATGTTATGATGATGGGCAAAATGTTCAACTGCTCTGACTGGGCTGAATGAAAGTAGCCTTTCTGAACATCCATCTAAATGAAATCTGGGGGACACTGGATGGCTCTGTCAGTTCAGTGACTTCAGCTCATGACCTCATGGTTGGTGTATTTGAGTTCGGGCTCTGGGGTGGTAAGTGCTGAGCCTGCTTGGGATCCTCTATCCCTCTCTCTCGTGCCCCTCCTGCACTGGCATGTTCTTTCTTCCCAAAATAAATACAGTATTTAAAAAATAAGTGGGGGCGCCTGGGTGGCTCAGTCAGTTGAGTGTCCAACTTTGGTTCAGGTCATGATCTCGTGGTTTATGAGTTTGAGTTCCACGTTGGGCTCTGTGCTGACAGATCAGAGCTTGAAGTGTGTCTCCCTCCTCTTGGCCCCTTCCCCCCCAAAAAAACAAAAAAAATGGAATGGGTTGAAAAATTAATTATTCCAACTCTGCATTTTTAAGCCTGGAAATTTCAATACGTATTAGTTCAGAACTGGGTATCCGGCTACTTTGGAACCTAATTAAAACCACATTTTGAGAAATTTAGTCTAAACTTTAAAATCGTCCATAGGTGGGGAATTCCTGAAGTATGTCCATATTCAAGTGGAGATTAAAGAAGCCCAAGGGAAAGAACTCTGGCAAGTTAGTTCTTTATCTTATCTTTAATGGTATAATGGTCATTACCAAGGCTTTGAGAATGTAGTTTCTCATTTGCTGTGGACATGACCATAAAAAATTTTTCCACTAGGCTTGCTTTCTTTATGCTACTTTGCTAGCGTTCAGCCTATTGGGAACATTTACAACAGCCATATTTCAAATTCTCATCTGACCATACATAGTATTTTGAATGGTGCATGCCTAGATCTCTGTTGTTACTAGTAACTGGGCAACTTGTAATATTAACAATAGATCTAATAGAGGGAGATTGGCTTTATTTATTTACAGGATCATCTCTGGAAATGGAGTTTTACTTTTCTATTCCTTTTCTATAGGATAGGACTGATGGTGACAGCTGTGGATTGAACAAAAGCTCCTTTTAAAAGGTATGTACACATTTGAAAAAATTTAAAGGTCTAATTTATAGGTCATTTCAAAGAGGGCTTGTGGGGCTAAAACCAAGAGCCCTTAACGCTGTGACCAGATATCGAAGTTCTCCATAGGATATAATAGTTACTCAGTGTTGCTATGTTTTCCTGAGGAGATACAAGATTTAGCTCCTTTACAGCCATGTGGGAAAGAAATGTCTCCCAAATTTAACCAATGTATACTCTCGTTCTCAGGGCTATTTTGAAGAATGTGATTCTGACTCGGAGGAACGACGGTGCTTGGGAGTGGAAGGAATCCCATGTTAAAATTCTTAAATAAAAATTTATTGACTTTAAATAACTTCACCTATGTTACACATAATTTAAACAAAGAATCTTTACACATCTTGTAGAAAGTCAGCACGTATTTTTGGCTCGAAGTTTCTCTAGTGTTTTCTGTGGAGGGAATAGAAAAATGAAATTAACAGTTGCAGTGCCCTAGACCTGGAAAGATTATAGGGGGCCTCACTCACCTTATGAAATTCTTTTGCCCTTGCTCGGTTTTGGGCATATGCGTCTTGCTTTGCTTTCTCTTCCCTTTGCTGTTTCACTTCAGCTAACTGATTGTATAATCTGTAAGAAATTTATTCTTACATATTCTTCGTATTCTCAGTAATACTTAAGGAATGTGAGTAACCACACATGACACAGAAACATATACATACCTTAAAGCCCTTTGACGCATGAGGGCTTGTGCAGTCTTTCTGTCTTCAGGAAGTGACACTCTGACCTTATTCACACCCTTCAGGCGACTCACAGATGAGCCTGAGCAGAGAATAAGTGATCTGGCAAATATTACCCTGCTATATGCTCTTTGTGAGAATTGATGCAGATGTGGGGAACATACCTGTTGGTTTCTCCTTAGCTGTTTTGATCTGAGATTTCTCAGAAAGGTAAATCTTATTCTTTATTTCTTTCTGTCTCTGGGAAGATCTCTCTATAAATGATTTTTTCCTCTTTACAAATGCTTCTTGTAAGCTCCCAGGTATAGCTGTAAACTTCGGCAGGGTTTCTGTTTAAAGATGAAATTGAAGCTTATTTTTAGCTCATTGACACTTTTGTGCTGGCAGTCTACGAGATTGTGGGGAATGTGAAGGCTGAGAGGTTGAGCAGGGGACCCTTTCAGATGCTCAAGGCATACCTGCCGAAACGGCCACTGGCTCCTCCACACAGTGTTCTGATACAACTGGATAATCTGAGGTTTCTTTTTCTGATAGAAGAGGCAGAAATTCATTCACCTAATTGCAAGTAAATCATAGATAAAATCATAGGTAAATGATCTTCCACTAACAACAGTTTCTAAACCCCTGGTTCCCTTTGGTAGAGGGAGATTTGCTGTTTGGGGGAGATGGGAAGTTGAGTGCCTATTCTCAATCCCCAAATACAGTGTAGGAATCTGCGTCCAATGAATTTAGTTCCTATTCTGTTTTCACCGCTTTGTGTGGTTTCTCACATCTAAATGGCAGGGCTGGAGTTTTCTGGGAAGGGAAAGTCCTTAATAAATGGTTCTATTCCTATTAAGATGCTTTACTCTCCAGCTCTGTTAGAGAATGGCTTTTGCCCAGCCTCCTGTAGCCCAAAGCTTTTTTCCTCACCTGATTCTTGTCAAGTGCTTCTATACCACTTCTGCATCTGCACTTCTTGTCTGCTGCCTCCCCATTACCCTTCTCAGTAATCATGGAAACAAATACTAGGTGTGGAACTATTTTTTTAAGATGAATTCTCTAATTCAGCATCAGGCTACAAAAACAGTCCTGCCACGGTAGTAGCACGTACAACCTGGGACTTTGGTAACAGGGCAACTTAATACACTGAAACAGTTGATGGGTGGTGACTTAGACTTGCTCAGTTTCCAACTGTAGTTCTGTTGTAATCCATGAATTCATCTATTATAAGCTTTACAGCAGGATTTCCTCCAATGACTACCTTCTAAGAATTGAAGTGAGCCCCATAGGAATGGTCTGCTTGCAGTGGAGAAAAGTACAAGGAACCTGCAGCTAATAGGACTATAAATCTGTTGTACTCAAGTTGATAATTTGAAAATAAACTTGCAATAGCACTTACTCTGTATCCCCATTAGGTCTGATTTACTTATGTATCTTCTAGAGCTTCTCTGTGCCTCAGAATTTCCTACATCTTTTATTGGGGGATGGAAGGCATGAGTTTCAACCCTTCTAAGCCCTAATGAAATCTACAGCATCATAAATAATTCCTTATTCTCAGCTGTGTGCTGCTGTGTAAATGAAGTGTACTCACATTAAAGGGAGCTATGACCTTTACCTGAAAGCTGCTTTTTGCCTCATTTTCTTTCTTTTCTTCTAGGGTTAAGTTTGCAAACTCCATTTCAGCAATACTGATATCACTGGTGCTTACTAATGTAAGCTCTGGCTCTTCCATTATACCATGTCCAGACTCTGTCAACTGTGTGATAAAATTGAAAAAGAAACCATATTCAAAGTAACAGCCTTGAAATAGTAAAAATGTAAAAGTGATGTACATTGACAATGTGGTGCCTCCCCCATCCCAACCCACTTTTAGAAATACTGAAGACTTTGGGGATGGGCAAAATGTCTGAAGATAGCTACTGCAAGAATTATAAGCCCAAGTGTTTATATTATAGGGCTGATGCAGGTTGACAGGCAGCCGTGCAGAACCTGAGGGTGTAACTGACCTATCTAAAGGAGCAGGAGCTAGTGGACTGTTCTCAAACTACATCTTTAGAGGGAAGTATCCAACTACTGAGTAAGAATCTGCAAAAGAACACCCCAAAAGGAGCAAAATATCTGTGACCTAGATGTCACTCTTGGTCTCAATCTGTATTACATGTTCATCTGTGGAAGGACAATACTGAAAGGTAATACTCAGGCGACCGGAGTTGAAACCAAGCAGATTAATACAATGCAGTGCCAAGAAATTCCACACTGAAAGTGCTGAAGCATAGGCCAAGCTATTCCTCAGGGAAATGAGAGGGGGCTATGTCGATTGGGAGCAGACCGGTTGTAAAATTTAAAGGTCAGCTTAAAACTTGAGCTCAGAACCTGCTTGGAATGCTCTGTCGTCTTCCTCTCTGCCCCTCCCCCTATGTGCCCTCTCCCTCTCAAACTTCAAAAAAAAAAAAACTTGAAATTTGGGAGTTTGCTCATTTCATTGGGAATTTCCAATGATTACATGATTGACTAGCTCAGGAATGTTAAGTAGCTTTGTTGCTTCTAAATTTGTTTCAAAAGTCTTCCTTGGAAATGAATTTATTTCCACACAACACAGATTTCACTTACCCACATTGGAATAGAGCTCTGTAATGATCCAGAACTTAAAAAGAGCTCTGACTGTGCTAGTTGAGAGAGGTTTCTTAGGATTTCTGGAGTTTCTGCTTTAGCTGAATTCTCAAAATATTTTTCATTCTGAACAGAATATGGTGCTTGAACTGAAGTTCCCATCTCCACTGTTCTCAGACACAACTGTGAATCGATTTCCTCTACTTGTGAATTTATATTTAAAACCCCACAGGTTTCCTTTTTGTCTCCATTGAGTCCTTGACTTTGTAACATTGTATCAATCCCTCTTTCTGATAGTTTTTCAGAGCACAGTGTTTCTTCTCTGCCTTCTGGTTGGGCTTTTATTGAGCATTCACTAGAGGTAGAACCACAGGGAGTGCTATGCTGTAGATTTAAGTGATGAAATACATTAGCCTCATCAGATGACCTGAAGCCTGAATTTTGTAAATTTCCTACAGAGAGCTGGAAAGGAACACTTTTTTTCCTATTTTGTAATTCAGTCTGTGCAGAGTAGTTCTGATTTTCCATGCTTTGGGAAGAATCTCTTGCTTCAATGCTAAAAATACTTGGTAGATCAACATGCTGGCTCCCCTCCTGTGAAGAAAATTCTGGCAGAAGCTGTTGAAAAGACTGTTCAGAGCCTGTAAGAAATAAGTTAACCATAATTACATGTTGTAAAACCTGGATAACAGTTTGAGTAAATAATGAATTCAGCTTACTTCCTACTACTTGGGGAGTGAAAGCTGATGTATGTATACATGAATAGAGAACGAAAGGATGGTCACAGTGATTTTTAATAACTCCACTGCTCATACCATGTATTTTCTCCTAGTCTAATAAAGAAAATATGGTTATTAGATATGCTGAGGACTTTTCCCTCATTAAGAGAGAATACCGATTTTAATAACAGACTAAATGCGCACATTATGTACCTCATATATAAAAAGGTGTGCATATGTATGTATACACAAAATTTGTACAAGAAGTATTTTTTTTTTGAAAGACCAAAAGCGTGAGCAGGGAAGAGGGGCAAAGGGAAAGAGGGAAGGAGAAGAGAGCGACAGAGACAGAAAGAGCGAGAATCTTAAGCAGGCTCCACACAGGGCTCTATCTCATGACCGTAAGGTCATGACCTGAGCTGAAATTAAGGGTAAGACACTTAACCGGGAAGCTTTACTGGCCTGTATAAAAAGTTTTATAAGGATACTTAAACTGTTAACTGGAAGGGCTGAGGTAAGGAAGTTGAGGAACAAGAGGTAGTGCTTTTGCTTTTATCAAATTCCATGCTGTAAAAATGCAAACAGCATTATTACTCCTGTTACTTAAACGGATACACAGAGAAACAGAAGTTGTAACACTGGGGATTGGTGACCGCAGGAGTGGAGACATACCAAGACCTGCCAGGCACAATTTCCAAAGAAAATGGATGTAAACCATGGAAAAAGCAGTGGAGTTTCTTTAACTTTTTCTAACTTAATCATACACACCCTCAGTAATGTTTTCTGTAGCAAAAATCTGAGCTGCAGCATGAGCCAAGTGAGGGTCAGGTTGCTGGTTCGGGCTTGTGTTAGAAGGATTCAGGCTGGTTCTCAGCACTGTAAAGGAAGCTGTACTTTTGGATGAAACGGTAGTACGGTGGCTTTCCCATGAAGAATCAGAGTTCTGACGAAAACAACAGAGAAAGGCTGAAATACTGATTATGTATTACCAACCGAATCAATAATCATGTTCTTAATGATACTACTCTTCCTTAATTACCACTTCTCTTTCACACTAGTAATTTGACTATTTAAACCCATTCTTCCATTTCAGTCAATATGAAAGAGGCTTTTTAAAAAAAGATTATTTAGAAAACAAACTGCAAATTAACCAGATAAGAGTTTAGAATATGATGAGATCGTCTTCTAAAAGTAGGAACTATTATGTAAGGACAGCCGGGGAGGTCAGGGTATGGGAGCAAAAGACCTGATTTGAATCTCAGCTGCTGTACTATGTAGGAAGAGGCATTAATTTTGAAAAATCAAAA